AGCTTTTAAACTTCTTGAATTTTCCAAATGCATCGCTCTTCTCTTTGAGTAATATTGTCCACATGTACCTTGAATGATCATCAATGAGAACAAAAATATACTTGTTCCCGGCGACTGTTTGTGGAGTTATGGGACCACAGAGATTGCCGTGTACAAGTTCCAATATTTTTGTTGCTCGATATGAGGTAGCTTGTGGAAAACATTGTCTAGCTTGCTTCCCAAGTAAGCATGAACCACAAATTTTCTTCTCGAAGTTCATGTGTGGAATGCCTATAACCAGTTCTCTTTGTATCATGGTTTTAATTGTCTCTAGATTTATGTGCCCTAGCCGTGCATGCCATCTGCTTGAGTCGTCTGTTGTTGATGAATGTAGACACATATCGGTTTTAATGCCCATACGAACTTTATATAGACGATTTCTTGATCTTGTTGCTTTAGCGATTAGCTTCCCATCACGATCATACATAGTTAGATATTCTCCCTTCATTCTCACGTCACACCCTGATTCAGTAGCCTGCCCAAGGCTGATGATGTTACTTCTAAGATCCGGGATAAAATAGACATCGGTCATTGTTCTTGACTCGCCATTCCTGTCAGTGAACTCTATGGAACCTTTTCCTTTGATATCTATCCGCGAATCATCACCGAATCTGACTTTTCCGGTAACGGAAGTATCAATCTTGGAGAAATATCGTCTATCTCTGGTCATGTGGTTGCTTGCTCCGTTATCAAGGTACCAAATATTTTCATTGCTTGTGCTTACTTCGTAATTACTTGGTACTATTTTTCCCTCGTTTAAGTACACGACCTCATGCATCATGAGCTTGTCTGCTTCTTGCGTGTCTTTGGTTCCATCCTCTTGTGCTTCTTGTAACTTGAGTAAGCGATCAGGACAATTTGAGGCGAAGTGACCTGTCTTGTCACACCGGTAACATGTGATTTTGGATAGATCCCTTGTTCTGTTTGTCCTTCCGCGTCCTCTCCCTCTGCTGTAGAACCTTCCTCCACGACTTCTTCCTCTGTTCTCGCCGTTGTACTCTCGGTTTGATTGTGTATCATAATCAGCATACAGAAGCTTGCTTTGATCTTCTTGCGTATTCTCATCGTCTTGAATACGTTCTTCATAAGCCTTTAATCTTCCGATGATGTCTTCGAACGTGGTGGTGTTTAGGTCGAGTACATGTTCTAGCGAGGCTACTATGTGGATATACTTCTTGCGAGGAAGGCTTTTAAGAAACTTTTTGACAAGTTTTGATTCTTCAATGCTTGTTCATAAGGCCGATTACTTTGATGCTATTTCTGATAATTTTCCTCCAAAATCATCGATAGTCTCGGTTTCCTTCATTGTGATTCGATCGAACTCTGTCATTAGTGTCTGTAACCTTGCCTCTTTGACTCTCTCTGCTCCAACATACATCGTTTTAATAGCCTCCCATACTTTCTTCGCTGTTTCAAGTTCTCCGACCTGAAGCACAAGTGTTTCGGGAATCGATTGAAACAATAACGCTGTTGCTACATCATTCTTTTCTGCATCGGTTGATCCTGTCTCAATGATATCCCAAACCTTGTGCACTTTAAGTAAAACCCTCATTCTCATTGCCCAAACTGTATAGTTGATATATCATGGTTTTTATGGTTTTTAACCATGGTATAAGTCTTATTTATAGAGTCTTTTTAGTGTCCTTCGAGTCTTTTGGAGTCTTTACAGGTCCTAGGTACGTTTGGAGCTTAACTGGAGACTTTGGAGCACTTTGGAGCTTAATCAGGATCAAATTCGTCAAGTATGGATTTTGTGCTTTAGTGACGCTCGACACCATGGAGAGTGACGCGCGACACTTGTTAAAGAAATAAGGAAAAGGCGATTTTGTTTCCTATTTGAAGAAGGAGTTGGGCCTAAACGTTTCCAAGGAAGCCCAAAACGTGTCTTAGAGATATATATAAGGTTTTTATTCCCTTTTTACGATTACCTTAGATTTTCTTAGAGAGAACTTTTGTTTTTGAGAGTTTTTTGGGGAGACAAGTCTGAAACTCTGTTTCGAAGAGAGAAGATTTCGAACCCCTGTTTATTAATCTATTTATTGCTTACTGCAAGCTATTCAATCATGTTTATTGCTTCAATCTCATTGTCTGAGTAGTTTGCTTGTTAGGTTTAGGGTTCTCATAAAGGATTTCATTGGATGTTAGATTGATTGGTTAGTTAGGGTTCATAATCTATTTAGTTCTTCACCATAGGTTGTTCTTAAAGCTAATTCTGGACTGGCCACCTAGAACTTAGATCTTAGGTTGCTTAATTGACACGGAAGTGTAATTGAATAACTGGAAAGAACCTAGGGTGAGAAAAGTAGCTATTCGCAAAGGAATTTGGTTTAGATACTTTGTGAACATATCGAACTTGAGCATTAAAGCTGGTTTAAATCTTTAGGGTTTGCAAAGGAATTTGGAATTCTAGGATTTTAACTTAGATAATTCTCACAACGGAAGTTGGTTAATTATAATTCTGTGATTCGAGTTCAAGAACCGTGCTTAAACCTGAACCCTGATTTATCGATTGATCTGCATGCATTGATTTCCTGAGAAACGCCCTAAGCCTAATCTCCACCCATCTGAACTTTACAAACGTTTTTACTGCATTCGTTTATCTTTATTTGCATTGCTATTTGCTTCTCATTAATCTGCTTAGCGTAATTCAATTACTAATAGGTTTATTGAGCGAATCTCTCGTCTCTGTGGTTCGACCCCTATTATACTACAATTGCACATCTGTGCTCTTGCAGAGTAGCTCTAGGGATTAAACTTTGAGCAGATCAATAGTTGGTTTGACTTAGCATAGGACATTGAATGGAAGATATACTTGGTTCCTTTGGTCGTGTGGTAGGGCTTTGTACGATGTCTCCCATGTCTTGATACTTGTTTGATTTAGATTGTTTTGTTCTAAGCTCTGATACCAATTATAGAAATTATAGAACTCAAGATAGATTAAGAATTCAATATAAATAATAACTCTCTTTATTAGCTTAAGAAAATCTCTTAAAACTTAAGCTCTCAAAACCTTAAACTCATAAGTTATGCAACACTTTTGCAACACTTTTGCATCTCCTTATATATAGAATAAAACCTCTTCCTAATAGGATTATATATTTCCTTTTTCTATAGATAACTCCTAAAGATATTTAGATAACTCCTAAAGATGTTTAGATAACTCCTAAACATAATTCTAATCCTAATAGGAATACTAACTTCTAGAATGTTAACTTCAAGCTTAAGTCAACATGCTTCTCGTGAAATGCGTATGACTGCATTTTGCCACCACCAACATCCGAGAAAAACAAAGTACTGTTTGTGTCACAAGAAAACCCAGTAGCTATTCGTTTCGAGAGAATAAAACACTCACAATATCAGAAAAAAAAGATTCATAATCGGAGAAGAGATGTTGTTTGACCGCAGCATTAAAACACTCCCAATATCAGAAAAAAAAGATTCATAATCGGAGAAGAGATGTTGTTTGACTGCAGCATACTCAATATCATATGGTACAAAATCTGCAATTGACATTTAACAAGTATAACCTGAATAAGTAGCTTCACTTGCCCCAAACAAATTATTTCTCGCAAAAAAAAAAACAAAAGGCATAATCTTTAAAAGTTTTATCCTCAAAAATAAAAGCTATCCAGTTAAAACCTATTTTAGACCAATGTGCCATAAGCATCCACAAGCAGATCACCTTCATAGTGTTAACCATTATGGAGCAACACAGTGTCCTAAACGAATAAACCCCAATACAGCTACATTGGAAATTTTCATCAAATCAAATCATCTGTAAGTTAAATCATCAATCATCACCTTATCCCCATAATCTTCAAAATCAACAACATTACTCTCGTTCCTAATCATTTCTTCCCCAACTACGTATGCTAAGATCTACTGTAGAGTCATTCTGCTAATTACCAGAGTTACAGAAAATTCCCTTGACACCGCAGGAGTGAAAGTATCAAACATGACATACCTGATTGATTTACAAACTATTAAAAATACCAAAGTTTTCCAAAGCAGCCAAAGTGTTGTTCTGTATTTAAATCGGACCTCTGTATTTTCCTTCTTTACTTATTTCGTTCAAATCATTCTCCAACACCAACACATCGATAGATCTTATGGTTCTATATTGACGTTTCCCAATTTCGATGATTCTTTGTAATATTATATATATATATATATCTTTTATTATTCATGGAATAAGACACAACAATTTCCTCTCTTCTCTTCTCTTCTCTCTCTTTCTTATTCACGACAATAGTAGATTAGATAGTTTTTGACCAAAATAAGAATAAAAATTACTAAGGGGTATTATTGAGAGATTGATTTATGAAGATTTTTAGAGTTTAAGATTCTATGGTTATTGGTTTGTGGATTTTACATTCTTAATTAGTAGATTTCATTGTTATTCGTAAATAGATTATAAAAATTCATTGTTATTGGTATTATAATTTTTATAATCTAATCAAAATCCATTGTTATTTAAAAAGTTTGTATTTTAATGATTCTGTAATTCGATTATAATCTAGTATTATTGGGATAATAATTCGTTATAATTTAACTCATAAAACATGATTTTCAAAATATTACATATATCCCATGAAAACTCTTTATTATTAAATCCAGAAAACTCTTTGCAAGTTTTATAAATCTAACAAAACTTTTGAAGATTTATCAAATATCATAACTTTTAAAATCAATTAAAATCTTTATAGGTCCAACTCTTAAAAACCCCTCTAAAATAGAACACACAGTGATCAGAATTAAACACACGGAATTGTTTGGGCCTAATTGATGAAAGCCTAGTTTGATGGGTCGTTCACAGGCTCTACTATACATAACTAGTATCCCAAATAGGCCCATTACGTCACGTCGTTCACCAATTTGGCGCGAATATTTCCCTCCTAAACTCGAGGAGACAATCTGATAAGTGAGATAACTGAGTGTGTATATTGTGCCCTAAATTCCGGCACCGGAGCGAGAGAGAGAGAGAGAGAGAGAGAGAGAAATGGCGGGAGAAGATTCCGACAATCAGCCGTCGTCACCAGATTCACCTTCCTCCGCTGGGTTCAACACCGATCAGTTACCTTTCAGTACGAGCCAGAACTCCGAGAATTTCTCTGAAGAAGAAGCAGAGGAAGATCGGCGGATCATAAGGGATGAGCCTGATGAGCGGGAAGAAGAGGAAGAAGTTGATGGAGAAGATCTCTACCCCGATAACTTCATGGCGTAAGAACGCGCTTTGCTTGAAGAATCAATAAATTATTTTTCTAGACGAAATGTTTATTTGCTAAATTTTTTTTTCTTTTCTCTTGTCGAAATCGGCAGAGATTACGAGGCAAGAGGTGAGCAAGATCAGTATGAGCCTGCTGGATTAGATGATTCCGTCGAAGATGACAGAGATCCAGGTCAGGTTATGGATGACCGTCGCGCCGCCGATGCTGAGCTCGATGCTCTAAAAAGCCGCTTCGCCAATCGCAAGCTTCCTCATCTTCTTCACGATAATGGTAAAAAAAAATCCCAACTTTTATCAATTGGAAACCCTAATTGCAATGGGTACTCATCATTTTGGCGAAATTGGAAACCCTTTTATCAATTAGAAACCCTAATATCCTGTCTCCGTGCATTAATCGCAATGGGCACACGAATTTGACGTAATCGGAAACCCTAATGAAACCCTGAATCCACAATTGAGATGTGATTTGAGTTTGGTCCTTTGTGTACAGATTCAGATGATTGGAACTATAGACCTTCAAAGAGGTCTCGAACTACGGTTCCACCGAGAGGAAATGGTGGTGATCCTGATGGGAATCCAAGTTCTCCAGGAAATTCACAGCCAGATATCTCAATGACTGATCAAACAGATGACTATCAAGATGAGGTATGAATATATGATGATTCTGTATCTTTTTCAGCTTCAATATGTTAGGTTCATTTCATTAGTAGTAGTAATTGTGTTTATGACTTTATAAATACAGGATGATAACGAAGATGAAGCAGAGTTTGAGATGTATCGGATCCAAGGAAGTTTGAGAGAATGGGTTATGAGAGACGAAGTTCGTCGTTTCATTGCCAAGAAGTTCAAAGACTTCTTGCTCACATATGTGAAACCAAATAGTGAAAATGGAGAATATGTGCGTCTGATAAATGAAATGGTCTCAGGTACTATTACTTGTTAATTTACAGAAGCTCTTTCACTTGTATATTTACAAGCATCTCTCTGAAATGTTTTATAATTCATCTATGGTTTATTTGCAGCCAATAAGTGTAGTCTGGAAATTGATTACAAAGAATTCATACATGTCCACCCAAATATTGCAATCTGGCTTGCGGATGCTCCACAACCTGTTCTTGAAGTAATGGAGGAAGTTTCAGAAAATGTTATCTTTGATCTGCATCCAAACTACAAGAATATTCACCAGAAGATTTATGTTCGTGTTACCAACCTACCGGTTAATGATCAGATTCGGAACATAAGGTTATTAATATGGCTAAACTCTTGGATAGTGATGACTTTGTAATCCTTCACTAGATTTCAGCTTAAACCATTTTTGTTTGTGAATGATCAGGCAGATTCATCTTAACACGATGATCCGCATTGGTGGAGTTGTCACTAGGCGTTCTGGGGTCTTTCCTCAGCTGCAGCAGGTGAAATATGACTGTAACAAGTGTGGAGCAATTTTGGGGCCGTTCTTCCAAAATTCGTATTCAGAAGTCAAGGTCGGTTCTTGTTCTGAATGCCAGTCAAAAGGACCGTTTACTGTAAATGTCGAACAGGTAGGATTCTATGTTCCTCTCTATCATATTCCTTAAACTTAATGAACTTCAACTAAGTTATTTATTGCAATCTGAAGTTATTAATTACTCATTACTCTCTTTGTTTCAGACGATATACAGAAACTATCAGAAGCTTACAATCCAAGAGAGTCCAGGAACAGTGCCTGCTGGACGACTTCCAAGACACAAGGAAGTTATCCTGCTGAATGACCTTATCGATTGCGCTCGTCCTGGAGAAGAAATTGTGCGTTCATCACACACTAAACTTCTTGAATATTTGCTCATTTGTATATGATAGATTATTGATTTGGTCTTGCAAGATATATTTTGCAGGAGGTTACTGGCATATATACCAACAATTTTGACCTGTCTTTGAACACAAAGAATGGGTTTCCTGTCTTTGCCACTGTGGTGGAAGCAAATTATGTTACGAAGAAGCAAGACCTTTTCTCTGCTTACAAGCTAACCCAGGAAGACAAGACGCAAATCGAAGAGCTATCCAAGGACCCACGTATAGTTGAACGTGTAAGTTGGATAGAAATCCTTTGAATTGCTTCAAAGTTTAAGTTCATCTATCGTAATATTATTTCAATTTCTCTCTCAGATCATCAAGTCAATTGCTCCGTCAATATATGGCCACGAAGATATCAAAACAGCTGTCGCGCTTGCGATGTTTGGAGGCCAAGAGAAAAATATCAAAGGGAAACACAGATTGCGTGGAGATATAAATGTACTTCTACTAGGAGATCCAGGAACAGCAAAATCACAATTTCTGAAGTAAGTATATTATCATAAAATGTAAGTTAAATCTGCATCAGAACTCTAAAAACGTTATTAACTAATTGCAAAAATGGTTTTTTATTCTAGATACGTTGAGAAAACGGGTCAGAGAGCTGTCTACACAACTGGGAAGGGAGCTTCTGCTGTTGGTCTGACTGCAGCAGTACACAAGGATCCAGTTACAAGGGAGTGGACGCTTGAAGGAGGGGCTCTTGTACTTGCTGACCGAGGAATTTGTCTTATCGATGAGTTTGACAAGATGAATGATCAGGACAGGTAACAAAATTCAACTAACGATGATTACTCTACTGGAGAAAATTTTACTGACGATTTAAGTATTGTAACCAGGGTGAGTATTCATGAAGCCATGGAACAGCAGAGTATTAGTATATCGAAGGCAGGAATAGTTACTTCTCTTCAAGCTCGTTGCTCTGTTATTGCTGCAGCTAATCCAGTTGGTGGAAGGTAGAAGATCGATCAAATCCCCAATCCAATGACCTAAAATTTCTGATTTTTATCTCGTTAACATGTTTGTGCCATTGCATTTTCAGGTACGATTCATCCAAATCATTTGCACAAAACGTTGAGCTGACAGATCCGATCCTTTCTCGTTTCGATATTCTGTGTGTTGTCAAGGTCTTTTTCTTAACCTATGTATCCCGTTCTTGCAAACACATCACTGATTGTGTTAACATGCTTTGTTATTGACACGACTTTAACATGCCTGCAGGATGTGGTTGACCCAGTGACAGATGAAATGCTAGCAGAATTTGTTGTCAATAGCCACTTCAAATCACAACCCAAAGGTGGTAAGATGGATGATAGCGAGCCCCAAGATGGCATTCAGGGATCTAGCGGTTCTTCTGATCCCGAGGTTTGTTACTTTCAGGTGTAGCTGCATCTTTAAAGTATCTATGTCTATCCTGTCTTGATGGCAATGTTGTTTTCATACAGGTTCTTCCCCAGAACCTGCTGAAGAAATACTTAACATACTCGAAATTGTATGTATTCCCAAAACTGAGTGAAATAGATGCCAAGAAGTTGGAAACTGTTTATGCTAATCTAAGACGAGAATCAATGGTAAGGATTCTTAATTTTAACTTAACTGATGGATTATCTTTCTCAAATATCATCATAATCTCTTGACTTGCTTAATTTTTTGTTCAGAACGGACAAGGAGTTTCTATTGCGACAAGGCACCTCGAGTCCATGATCCGAATGTCTGAAGCACATGCTAGGATGCACCTTAGGCAATATGTCACAGAAGAGGATGTTAATATGGCCATTCGAGTCTTGCTTGATTCTTTCATATCAACCCAGAAATTCGGAGTCCAGAGAACTCTAAGAGAGGTATTATATTAAGTACTGCACAGCTTTTTTTCGGTGAGCTTCTATGTATTCTGATTTCTGAATTGATTGATGAAAACTTGTTTATGCAGAGTTTCAAACGATACATTACATATAAAAAGGACTACAACTCATTACTCCTCGTTCTTCTCAAAGAGCTAGTAAAGAATGCCCTAAAGTTTGAAGAAATCGTCTCGGGATCAAACTCCGGTCTACCTTCTATCGAGGTTAAGATAGAGGAGCTGCAGACAAAGGTAATTTTCATATGGTTAGGCTATCTCAGGTTATAAAATTGAGAAGTATGCGTCTTATAACTCTTTGTGTCTCGTTTGCAGGCCAACGAATACGACATTGCGGATCTACGACCGTTCTTTTCGAGCACAGATTTTGCCAAAGCTCATTTCGAGTTAGACCATGTTCGAGGAATGATCAAGTGTCCTAGAAGGCTAGTCACTTGGTAAAAACAAGAAGACGAAGTTTCAAGTCAAAGCTTACTGCTACTAGAAACTTGGGTTTAGGTTTATCATTCTTTAGTTTTCACATTAACATACGATGAATCGCATGTTAACTTTTGGATTATTTAGATTATGGTTTCGTTTAATGTTAAGATTATCAGCTCCTCAAAGTTTTCCTTTTAACATCAGTTGCTCAAAGATTTGCCCAAACATTTACAAAAAAATCAATGCTAAATTACTGATATTTCGAAAGATACGAAGGAAATTGAGGAAATTAAAAATTACTATGTTTTACTAAATAATTAGATACTAAAGATTATCTTTTGCAAAAGGAAATAAATATTTCAATTATCTGACCGTTTTTGAAGTTAAAAAGGAGATAAATATCCTTTTTGTAAAAGGAAAATCACCATCTATAAAAAATTACTTATACCAACGGCTTCGCTCTTTGCTTGTATTGCAAGTGTTTATTATTTGTTCTCTCTTCTCCTCTTCGTTCGTTTCTCTCGTCGTTGTCTTTAGGGTTTCAGTGGGTCTCCATCAAAACCAAGGCTAAATACTGCTTTCAAAATTCGGTGGACTATTGTAATTCTCCGCGAATTTGTTTCTGAGTAGAAAAAGAAACTCTTCTCAGCGAACATGGAACGTAATGAGGTAGAAGCTAGAAGAGCAATGGAAATTGCAGAGAGAAAACTCTTAGAGAATGATTACTATGGAGCAAAAAAACTCGTTAAACAGGCTCAGAATCTGTATCCAAAGCTTAATGGTTTGAAACAAGTCCTGATAATAACCGATGTTTATATTTCCGCATCAAACGGAGGAAGAAGAGAAGCTGATTGGTATGGGATTCTCGGTATAGATCGTTTAGTCGATGATGAAACCGTCAAGAAACAGTACAAGAAGCTAGCTCTCTTGTTACATCCGGACAAGAACAAGTTTAGTGGCGCAGAAGGCGCGTTTAAATTGGTTTTAGAAGCTTGGCGTCGATTATCTAAACCTGAGCCTAAGTCTAACAATAAGCGTAAGACTAAGCATAAGCATAAGCCTAAGCCTAAGACTAAGCCTGAGCCTGAACCTGAACCTACGGTTGAAACTACGTTTTGGACAGTGTGCAATAGATGCAAGACATATCGTGAATTTGTGAGGGCTGGTTATCTTAACAAGACCTTGTCTTGTCAAAACTGCGGTGAGGATTTCGTTGCGGCCGAGATAGTTCCAGAGATAATCAACGGGAGGCCATTAATCAGATTGAGTCCCTCTGATCTGTCAACAAGGAAAAGAACAAGTGATACTTCTTCTTCTTCTTCGTCTGCAAATCAAGCACACAAAAGAGTGAAAAGATGGTTTGAGCCTAAGCTTGATGAGTTTGATTCTTCTTTATCAAGAAAGGAGATAGCCAATACCTATAAGTTTTGGACAGTTTGCAATAGATGCAAGACGTATTGTAGATTTGTGAGGGCTACTTATCTTAACAAGACCTTGCCTTGTCCAACCTGTGGTCAAGATTTCGTTGCGACCGAGATAATTCCAGAGATAATTAATGGGAGCCCAGTAATCAGATTGATCAGTAGCAATTTTCAACCAACAAGTAAAAGCAGATTTAAAGCTTATTTTTGAACATCATCGAATAGTGCAAAAGCCACAAACAAGAGAGGCTTTTCAAGAAACCGATGACAACAAGAAATGCTAACTCTACATTTTCAAGGAACCGATGACATATGTGGAAGAAGAAGTAAGCTTAACCATATTTGGATGTTGAAGAGTTTGCTTTCTTTAATTTTGTTTTGTTGATTTACATTTCAGGGTTTTGTTTTTTTTATTGATCTTTCTGTTTGTTTTTTATTTTCAGGTAAACGGCGTAAAACAACACCAGATTCGAGGGTTAAAACCCCATCAAGACAATGAGACAAACGATTTGGATGTGGTTGTGTATATAAAATGTGTGTGTCATGCTGTAAAATACAGCCACATCTACGTCCAGATTTGATGGACATTCCCCAAACACACAACTGAAATATAGTAACCACAAAATTTTAAAATGTAAGCCCAATCCAAAAACAAAACCATAAAGACGACCTGATTTTAAGACCCTTAAATCACCGATCCCAAAAACAAAAGTTGAATCTGAATCAAGTGGCCGCATGGCAAAGGCTATGAATTATGCCGGATTCAAACATGGGTGGTGACATAACAAAAGATTTCACACAAGTTATACCATGTTATATGTTATGGTCGAAACAGTATTTTGTGCAGAGAGAACTAGTGATGTAGACCAGGATTTTGGCTTTGACGAGTTAAGTTTTCAAAAAGGATATAACTGCTGACGTGGCAGGCGATCTCATTGGCGATTTAGGGTTTTCTTCGTTTTGTTTCTTTGGCCGCACGAATGGCAGCTCCGGCGGCCTCTCCGCCAGGGATTTCGGTCGGGAATCCTCCGACAATACCTTATGCAGAAACCTCAAAAGCACAAGTCGTTGAAGTTACCAAATCAGTGAATTCAGTTCATGGCAGCAGCAACGGTGTTGCTGAAACAAAGGTCGATGGGGAGGAACTGGACTCGAAGCCTCCTTCCAGTCAGGCAAAACCTTTGTACGCTTCAATTGTTCAAAACAAGCAAGATCTCGTATCGCACGAGATTAGGGTTACTATGGTTGATGGCTCTCCGACGGTAGTGATTCCAGATGATATCATCGAAGATTCAGATCCTCTGTGGGAAGAGCTCCTTATGGGGAAATTCCTCTCTAATGCGCCTCATGTGGCAAAGGTGCACGTCATCGTGAACAAAATTTGGCCTCTAGGGGACAAAAATATTAAGGTGGATGTTTTCGTAGAAGACAAGACTACGATGAAATTCAGAATCCGAGATAATACTGTTCGGAATCGTGTTCTCCGACGCGGAATGTGGAACATTGCCAATGTCCCTATGATAATCTCAAAGTGGTCTCCTGTGGCAGAGGAAGTGCAACCAGAGATTAAAACCATGCCAATGTGGATAGTTCTAAAGAATGTTCCGCAGAAAATGTTTCACAGGAAGGGTTTAGGATTTCTGGCAAGTGCGGTAGGTGTTCCGAAACGGCTTCATCCTGATACTGAAATTTGCAAAAGCTTTGAAGAGGCAAAAATATTTGTTGAAGCAGACTTATCTAAAGAACTCCCAAAAGTTCGGCGATTTACCTCGGATAAAGGAGTTGATTCTGAAGTTGAGTTTCAGTACCTGTGGTTACCACCAAGATGTTCCTCATGCCTAAATGGGGTCACTCTTCTGACTCTTGTTTGGCGGTGAATAAGATCTTGAGAAGGGAATCAGCAATTTCAAATTCTTTGACGATAACAGGGGATGTTACAGTGCCCAAAAGTGTAGCAGAAGCGGTGGTGGAGAATTGTTCAACATTACCAACAAAGGAGAATGATCAGGTGATTGTGGAGGACGAAACAGGTCTGCCATCATCGCCTAATGGGATATCCAAAAACTCTAACCAAGTATTGGAAAAGACAAAGGACAATAGAATTGTTGAAAATCCAGAGAGAGAAGAGGGGGAATGGCAATCTGTCTCTCCATCGAAGATTGGTTGGCATGGACTAGAAACTGATACACGGAAGGACGATATCTCGGTATCACCATCTCGTTTTGCTATTCTGGCTAAAACTTTAGAGATGGAACCTGAGAACGAATCCATTAAGGATAGCGCTATACCTGGTTTGGCAGAAGAGGATCTCTCAGCTCGTCATGATCAGATTTCAAAGCAGACCAAGAAACATGAGGAAGTAGGAACTCGTTTACCTCTACCGCGTGCATCTAAGACGTCAAGCAAACCTTTGGGGGACTTTATTGCTCCAAATGCTAGGGAATCCAAACCTGGCAATTCGAGTAGAAGGAACCCAAAGACAAAACACTAATCCATGTCTGGTTTCTTTTGGAATGTCCGCGGCCTAAATAAATCTACTAAGCATTCCATTGTCAGAAGTTGGGTTCAGAGTAAAGGTTTTCTTTTTGGTGGTTTATTGGAGACGCGTGTAAAGGAAGGAAGGGCAAGTAACATTGCTGCTTCCATTTTTCGTGATTGGTCTTTATTGACAAATTATGAATTCAATCGGCTGGGTCGTATATGAGTTGTGTGGAGTCCAACGGTACGGCTGACGTTATTTTTTAAGAGTGGTCAGATGATCACAGTTTCGGTGAAACTGGAAGACAGAACAGATGAATTTTTCTGCTCTTTTATTTACGCTTCCAACTTTGTGGAGGAACGGCGCGACCTATGGAGTGATATTAGAGACCACCAGAACTCTCCTATCATTCGTAACAGACCATGGATCTGCTTGGGTGATTATAATGAGATTTTGGAAGCTGATGAGCACTCATCTTTTGTATCATCTCCGTCGATCCCGCCTGGTATGAGAGATTTTCAAAATTTGGTAAGGGATTGTTCCATGGAAGACTTGGCTTACCATGGTCCTTTGTTTACATGGTTGAATAAGAGGGAAGGTGATCTGGTTTCGAAAAAGCTGGATCGAATCCTCAAGAACCCGGTTTGGAGCCAAGAGTTTCCCCTTTCTTATAGCGTATTTGAAGCAGGTGGTTGTTCGGATCATCTACGGTGTCGTTTTCACTTGGAGGCTGAGCAAATTGCGAGAAAAAAACCTTTCAAATTTGTTAATGCAGTTGCCGATCTGGAAGAATTTTTACCTTCCTTGGCGTCCTACTGGAGTAACACCCAGCCTGTTTTTCTATCCACATCGTCGATGTTCCGCTTCTCTAAGAAGCTCAAATTTCTTAAACCGGTAATCAGGGCGCTTGCTAAGAATAGGTTGGGCAATCTTTCAAAAAAAGCGCTGGAGGCTCATAAAGATCTTTGCGAAAAGCAGGACGCTAATGCTCATGCTCCCTCTGATCAGCGAACTGAGGATGAAAAAGCTGCTTACCACCGATGGGACTTTATCTCAAAGCTGGAGGAGTCTTTCCTAAAACAAAGATCGAAAATTCACTGGTTAAATGTTGGTGATGGTAACAACAAAACTTTCCATAAGGGTATAGTCTCCCGAGAATCCACAAACACCATTAGAGAAATTCAGAGGAGTGATGGGACGTTAGTGTCAAGTGCTGCGGGGATTAAAGAGGAAGCAGAAAGTTTTTTCAGGGATTTCCTTCAACTCATTCCCTCAGAGTTCAAGGGAATTCATGTGGAGGATCTGGAGGATATTTTGCCATACAGATGCTCAGTTCTGGATCAGGAAATGTTGATTAAAGCAGTATCAGCGTCTGAAATTAAGGATGTTCTTTTTGCCATGCCAAGCAATAAGTCGCCTGGCCCAGACGGCTATAATGCAGAGTTCTACAAGGCATCTTGGCCAATATTGGGGGCTGAATTCATCACTGCAGTTCAATCTTTTTTTGAGAAGGGATTTCTACCAAAAGGGGTGAATTCGACGATCTTAGCCTTAATTCCAAAGAAGACATCGGCACTGGAAATGAAAGATTATCGGCCAATCTCATGCTGCAATGTTCTCTACAAAGTCATCTCTAAAATAATGGCGAACAGAATGAATGGAATTCTCCCTAATCTTATTGCGTTAAACCAATCTACTTTCATCCAAGACAGGTTGCTTATAGAGAATCTGCTTTTGGCGACTGAACTGGTAAAAGATTATCATAAAGACTCTATCTCTTCGAGATGTGCCATTAAGATTGACATTTCGAAGGCGTTTGATTCAGTCCAATGGCCCTTTCTGATTAATACGCTTAAGGCGATACACTTTCCGGACAGGTTTATACATTGGATTTCTCTATGTGTTACCACAGCATCCTTTTCGGTTTAGGTGAATGGAGAACTCGCTCGGTTTTTTCGGAGCAAGCGGGGTTTACGGCAAGGATGTTCATTATCCCCATACTTGTTTGTGATTTGTATGAATGTTTTGTCTAAGTTGTTAGACAGAGCGGCGAGTGCTCAACAGTTTGGGTATCATCCTCGCTGCAAAAATCTTGGGCTTACCCATTTAAGCTTCGTGGATGACATAATGGTGATGACAGATGGGAAAGTGAGATCGGTGGAAGGGTTTGTCAAAGTGTTTAAGGATTTTGAAATGATTTCAGGGCTAAAGATCAGTATGGAAAAGTCGACAATCTACATGGCTGGGGTTTCTGAGGCGATTGGGCAAGAACTCCATCAAAAATTCTCTTTTGATATTGGAGCTTTACCTGTGAGATACTTGGGTCTGCCCCTTCTTACGAAACGGATGACGTCTCATGATTTCATGCCATTGGTGGAGAAGATTCGGAAACGAATCAGTTCTTGGACTGTTCGTGCACTATCGATCGCAGGAAGACTTCAACTCGTTAAATCAGTTCTGCACAGTATTTCTAACTTTTGGATTGTAGCATTTCGCTTGCCTGGAGCATGCATTCGCGAAATAGATAAACTCTGCTCTTCTTTCCTTTGGTCTGGTCCTGATTTAAGCTCTAGAAAAGCTAAATTGGCCTGGGAGGAGGTCTGTAAGCCGCAGGAAGAGGGAGGGCTTGGAATTCGGCCTCTTAAAGAAGTTAACAATGTAAGCTGCCTTAAACTGATCTGGTGTATTGTTTCGTCTCACTCTTCACTTTGGGTTCAGTGGATTCAGACCTACCTCCTTAAGCAACGCTCTCTATGGTCGATACCGGATACATCAAACACCGGTTCCTGGATGTGGAAAAAGATTCTAAAGTATCGTGTTATTGCTAAGGATTTTCATCGGATGGAGATCTGTGATGGTGCAAAGACGAGTTTCTGGTTCGATAACTGGTCGGATCTGGGAAGATTGATTGATCTCACGGGTCCTAGAGGACTTATAGACATGGGTATCCCTCTTCAGACGTCGATTTCATCTCTCTCCCAGCGACGACGGCGACGACATAGGAGTGGTCTTCTCGATCAAATTGAGATGGTGCTGGAAACAACTCAGTCCAAGATTACACCTGGTAATGAGGATATTGCAGTTTGGAAAAGCAAGGAGGGAAAGTTCAAGCCACGATTTATGTCTAGAAATACTTGGCTCCTAACGAGAAAGGGATCTCCTCGAATTCCATGGCACAAGGGCATCTGGTTTAAGCATTCTACTCCTAAGTATTCGATTTTTGCTTGGTTAGCCACTCATAATCGATTATCTACAGGGGATAGAATGTTGTATTGGAACGTGGGGGCTAACCCAAATTGCTGTCTCTGCAACGCCGCAATTGAAACGCGAGATCACTTGTTTTTTGATTGTAGTTACTCTGCCAAAATCTGGGGGAAGCTAATGAAAGGGCTTCTCAAAGGGCAATTTTCAACAGTTTGGCATACGCTTCTTCATCTCGTCACAAATATGAAAGCTGACAGACAAACTTTGTTTCTCCTACGGTATTCATTCCAAGTCTCCATTCACAGCATCTGGAGAGAAAGGAATCTTCGCCGTCACGGAGAAAGGCCCTTAACTTCCGATCAACTGCTGCATTTCATTGATAAGGTTATCCGATGTCGTATTCAATCTATCCGGGACGTAGGAGACAACAGATTGGAGGGTACACTTCAACTCTGGTTCGAAACTCGAACCTGACAAGCATCACGCCTCTGAATAAATTCTCTCAAAAATTTTAATTAAATGTAACACTCAGATGTAAAACAGTCTTTTTTTATCTTGAATATAATTTTACATTCAATTCAAAAAAAAAAAAAAAAAACTAGTGATGTAAATAATGCTACTGATTAGATGCCAAAAGGCTTTCGAGCTTCTCGCAACCATGAAAGAAGAACGTATTATTGTAGAAACGAATTTAAGATTCCAAGGGCTACAACGTATCTACTTTTGTAGTATTATGAGAGTTTGATTTGCATTTTATCTGACTCTCATCTTCACCCAACATGTTGTCAGAGAGGCTTGGTCTTGGTTTGGAATTCAATATCTTTCTGATAATCAACGTTTACTAGAGATAAAATCAAATAAAAAGGTAAAATATCCAAAATTCTTCAAACAAGAAACAAGATAACATACAGATTGAGAAACCTGAGATACATGTAATTTGATATTCATACCAAAGTAGATAAACAGAGATACTAAATTTTGAACTCTACTGAACACAAACTTGGTTACAATCCAAAGTCTTGACAGGCATAATAGTCTTCAACCTCAAAATTTTACTCAATACTTTCTTAAACTGTGGAGCCTTTGATGGGAAAATCTTAAATTTCAGAGGCTTCTTCTCTGAAACATCCTTGAAAGCTCGTGGTCTGATTCTCAACTTGAGTTTCAACTTCAATAGAAACGAGTTTCTCCTCTCTTCAACGGCGATTATCTTCTCAGCCTTCTCCTCTTCTTCTCCACACAAAAACCGATGAGACAACAACTCATATGCACTTCCTCTCTCCTCAGGTTTCTTCGAGAAACACTTTTCAATAAACTCCCTTGCATCGCAAGGCACACACTCTGGAATCTCTGGAGCTTTATCATCAAGGAGACGAAGCGCGAGATCATTGATATCGAGACCAAGCCATGGAATCTCACCAGTGTACATCTCCAACACTAAGCATCCTAACGACCAAAGATCTAGGGTTTTAGTCGTGACACCGTCAACGAGAGACTCCGGCGGCATGTAAATCGGCGTTCCCACAAACGGGAAATCGAATCCCCAATAATGAGGGATCTCTCCGACTTCCAACGAGTTTCCAAAATCAGAAATTTTTAGTTCATATGAAGAAGAACCTTTACACAGGAACACAAGGAGGTTGTCGGGTTTGAGATCGCAATGAACGTAACCGTGTCCGTGAATACAGACCAAACCTTCGACAATCATACGCGTAAAGTCTTTAATCATTGGTTCGGGCAGTTTTCTGTCGGAGTAATTTTCCATGAAAGAACTTAAACTACCTTCGGATGCGTACTCGAGAAGCAATTTGTGGACTTTGTTTCCGTATGAGCTGAAACCTTCTTCTAAATTGTCTCCAAAGCATTCAACGATTCTTGGATATCCTCTGAGTTCGCAAAGTATCTGAAATTCTTTTTGAAGATTTTCGAAGTCCTCGGCGTAAGAGTTTTTCACGGCGGCGTGAAACGAGGAGCCGTCGCGTTTAGTGTATTTGACGAGATTAACGAAACCGTACGCACCTTCTCCCAAGAACTTCAGGATTTCTTCGTTAGATTGCATCTTTTGATTTGCAAAGACAGACTTGCTTTGGCGTTTAGGGATTCTTCAAATTTCGAAACTGAGTTACAAAGAAGGAATTGAGTCGCTAAAGATTGCAGCGAGAGAGAAAGTGGGAAACAAAAGAAAATACGGTAAGACTTTTATAGAGTTATAGGATTTTGGTCGGTGATATCAATTATCAACTTATAAGTATATTTGGACCGTTGGATCAGAACTAAAAAGGGAAATTACAGCTGAGAAGGAAAAAGGAAATTACAGCTGAGAAAGAAAAAAAGGAAATTTTCAGGGTCGCGGAATTTTTTTTAATTGGTCTTAACGTTTATTTGATTTGATTTTTCTATTGTCTCATTGCAAGATAAAATTGCAAACTCCTTGCTGTTTTTAATAAAAGATAAAGATGTTGGATACCGTGAAAACGGTGACGCCCTGTTAAGTTCAGTACTACATGTCGTTTTTATTTATACAGTGCGAACTCCATGCTGGTTTGAAATAACTAAGGCTTAACCATCTGTATATCGCATGTTCTTCGAGATTTGATTTTTTTTTTTTTTTCTTTAACGATTTGACAATCTGCAGGACTTTGCTCGTTTCAATTAGGGTTAAAAATTTAGTGAAACCTTCGTTAAGAGAGACTTGTCGTCGGCGATACTCTCTGATTCATCATCGTTTCTGGTATTTTGTTTCGCTTAGTGCTGTTCCTCTTAGGGTTTTGCCTCTTCTGTTCGCAGAGTTTCATTTTTTTTTGCTCTGAAAAGCTTTTTGCGAGAATTAAGCTCGACGTTTGGATGTTTTGCTCTTCAGATTAAGCTGAAAATTGGAGAGAGGAACCTAATTGGAGAGAGGAAGCTACTTTTGTGGGGAAATGTCGAATAATCCTCCCCAATCCTCTGGTCCCCAGGTACGAAACTGCCAAGCTTGTTCTCTTTTAGTCCATTTCATACTTTCACGAAACTCGAAGCTATTCATCAATTGATATGTTCTCGTTCCTCACTCTCAGAATCATACATTCAATAGTTGTCAGATTCTAAGCAATTTGATGTAGTGAAAGGTTTTAATCTGGGATGATAATCTGGATGCTATTTTGCTGAAAGTGTATGATTTCTAGTAATAGTTAGTCAGTCTCTCCCTTTAGTTTTGTATCTGTAAGTCGTCTGTGATCTATTGGATGTGCTTATGAAACCTTTTTTGCAGCAGTTTCGGCCGATGGCTCCTGGGCCACAGGGTCAGCATTTTGTTCCTGCAGCTTCACAGCCTTTTCATCACCCCTTTGGACATGTACCAACAAATGTTCAAAGTCAGCCTCCACAGTTTTCTCAGCCGATACAGCAGCTCTTTCCAGTGAGACCAGGTCAGCCTGGGCATATTACATCATCATCACAGCCTGTAGCAGCGCCGTATATCCAACCGCAGCCAAATGCGCCTCCAATGACAGGCTTTGGTACATCTGGACCTCCGTTTTCTTCTTCATATACAGTGAGGCTCCAGCTTTTCTAATATTTGTTCTTTGGATGACCTTGTATACGTATATGATTCTTTTTCACTTTCTTGGATTCTTGTTCTTGCAGTTTGTACCACCATCTTATGGTCAGCAACAACCACCATCAATGGTCCAACCAACCTCTCAGATGCATGCAGCTGGTGTCCCCCCAGCAGCAAACTCTTGGGCTGCTCCTGTAAATCAAAGTACAACACTTGTTTCCCCTGTACAGCAGACTGGGCAACAAACTCCAGTCACACTTCCCACAGACCCAGTAAGTGACTAACTGATCTTAAATACCTTTTGGTGACTTGTATCAATGTCTACATCTGCTTTAAATTGTGAAGCCATCTCTTACTAAACTGTGAAATCATATTATGCTGAGCTGTATAGTTATTTAAATTGAGAGCACTCACATATGCCTTAGCTCAAACTCTGATGAGGTTTGAAAACGAAAACTGTTTTGTTTATCTCAAGGATGAATAACAGGCACTCACCCAGAATTCTGAAATCAGAGTGACGTAAGGCTTTGTTTTAGAGAACCCAAAATCTCTCCCAAACCTCAAGAGGCCCCTAGCAAGATACCCCTAAGCATCAGAACCCTTTATTATTTATACTAATTAAACCCTTTGCTGATGTGGCATTGTTGATGAACTCTTATTAAACTCATTCTCTAGTCTTTATGTATCTTACACAGCTTTTCTTTGAAGCTCAACTTACCTAACTCATCAGTTACTTGTTTTTTGTTTTTTTTTTGTTTCCTATTGTACTTGTTGGATAGCAGGGAAGCCTGACTCCGCAATCTGCATCTGACTGGCAGGAGCATAAATCTGCTGATGGGAGAAAGTATGTTACAGAACTACTCTTTTAGATTTAGGCCTATTAGTTTCGTACCTGTCATTCTATGTACTGTAGATTTGTGTTCATGCAATTCCTATCCGGAATTGATCATTCTAGTAAGAGATTGTTCATAAGCTTCTCACTTTTTAAGCCTTTCATAAGGACTTCCATGCTCTTGTTTACTTTTCATGCAGATGTATGTTTCATGGTTTTGGGTATGTAATAAACTTCTCCTCTTATCTGATATATACATAATTTATTCCAGGTATTATTATAACAAGCAGACTAAGCAATCAAGTTGGGAAAAGCCTCTTGAACTAATGACACCACTTGAGGTAATAGACCTATAAAGTAGCCAGTCTACTAAAAAGATAATCATCCTGCTGGTCGTGGAACCTTACTAGTACTTTTAGTATGTGTGCTAATTCAATATCGACGTAAACGGTTGCATGCTTTATCGGGAGAATTTTGTTTTATTTGTGATTTTCGCATTCTTTTCCACTGGTTTAAACGGTCAAAAGTACTTCTTTTGAGGTATGCTTTGCTGTTTTAGTAGTTAGTTTTGCTCTCTCTCTGCTAATGTTTGTTTTACATAACAGTTATATTGCATCAAATCTGTATATTTATTTTGTTTCGAACTTCATTAGAAATCATATGCAAGAAGGATGAGATCTAATGCAAACGTGAAACAGCTGGATTAGTTTTAGGTATTTTGAAACAAGTTGGTTGATAGACCTGATACAATGCTATCTTGGATTCTTTCTTGAAGTTTCATGAATTCAATTTGGTATTGCTTTGGCCTGGTTGATATATTCATTCCTACTATGCATATGTAGGAGCATATATATCTTAGTATTTTTTTTTTCCGGTTGATCCCATTACCTTTTATTGACGTTCTGGATTTCGGTGATTAGATTGATCGATCAAAATATATCCTATCTATGCGTAATAACTTAGTTTCTTGCATATTGATGATATCTTTCTACAGAGGGCTGACGCCTCCACCGTATGGAAGGAATTCACTACAGCTGAAGGAAGAAAGTATGCATCTTTAAATTTCACTTGGTCTTTGTTTCATGCTTATGCTCTATAGTTGCAAGTGATTTATTGTTTTAATTAACGCAGATACTATTATAACAAGGTTACAAAGGAGTCTAAGTGGACAATTCCTGAAGATTTGAAGGTCTGCCAATTTATTTCTCTCATGCACATTGCCCAATGTAGAGTCTACATTAAACCTGCATAGTTGGTATATGCAGTTAGCTCGGGAACAAGCTGAATTAGCTAGTGCAAAGACGTCCTTTTCCGGAGCTGGATCTACACCTGTGTCCCACATGTCTGCGTCCTCATCTGACCTAGCGGTTAGCACTACTGTGACCTCGGTTGTTCCAAGCACATCTTCCACATTTCCTGGGCATTCGTCAAGCCCTATTCCAGGAGGTTTGCCTGTACCTGTCACTCGTCCTCCCCCTGTAGCCCCTGTTACTCCAATGTCTGCTGCAACTACCGATGCCGAGGCTACTGCAATGTACTATTTTTCACTTGGGAAGTTTTGGTTTGATGATTATATACTCTATCACGTCTCTGAATTTAGCTCTTGTGCCCTTCTTACCAGAAAATCGGATAATATACCGTCTCAGGGGGCAGATGATTCAAATGATGGAGCTCCAGGACAAAACAATGAGGCATGGTTTTGCTTTTCCTTTTCTTTTCTTACAATGACTTGCCTAGAATCTAGAAGTCTAGTCTTATACATTCTGCTTCCGTGCTTTCACTTAATGTAAAAAGAGGTCAATAGTAACTTGTACAACTTTTTGTAAAAAATTATGTTCATTATTTACTGGATGTGTGATGATATGGTGGTTTCATGAATATTTATGATCAAATATTACAACTTCGTTTGCTTTCTTATTATTTTGCTTTCTTTGTTAGGCTGAGAATAAGGAAATGTCAGTGAATGGAAAAGCCAATCTGACACCTACTGGTGACAAAGCAAATGTTGAGGAACCCATGGTTTACGCTACTAAGCAGGTATTTTCTTATACTAATGTACTCCTTCTATAATAAGTAGCTATATGTTTTCTTTTGCAAGTCTAATTGTTTGCTATCCAACTATTTTTGCCCTGTTTGTTGTTTTTTTTCTAGGAGGCCAAAGCTGCTTTCAAGTCGCTTTTGGAATCTGTAAATGTTCAGTCCGACTGGACATGGGAACAGGTAAATTGGATGCATATGATACATTGATAGATATGGCATGTATTCTCTCCCTGACCGTCTACTAGCTTCATTGCTGACCTTATCATCTCCTTGTAGACAACGAAAGAGATTGTTCACGATAAAAGATATGGTGCTTTGAGGACACTCGGTGAGCGGAAACAAGCTTTTAACGAGGTATATAGTTTTTTTTGTTCTTAGGAATAATATGAGATGCATTTTAATATCCCTGTCTAGAAATCGTTGCAATCTTTATTTGTGATGTAATTAAATTTTCGATTCCTATTTTGAATAGCTTTATGCTAACATCTGATTGTCAAATATAATGCGCCAGTATCTTGGTCAAAGGAAAAAAGTGGAAGCTGAGGAAAGGCGAAGGAGACAGAAGAAAGCTCGGGAAGAATTTGTCAAGATGCTAGAGGTATGTACCAGAGGAGTCAGAAGTTCCGTGATTGTTTGGTTTAGTGTGGCT